CTACGTTACAAATCTGAATTATTATACAGTACTATTACTGCAAAATTAGCAGCTAATTCCCGATGTCCTCACATCAGATACATAAGCCTATGACGACCCTTATGGGTTCAGCATGTGGAGAGCATGCTCTGATCGATTTCTTATACTCTCATGTTCTCAAACTCATACGGCGAAATTCGATGAATTCGAGGAACCCCTAGTGTCTGCGCGACCAGATATTCGTCGGAAAAACCGGGTCACGTCTTCAGGTAGACAACATGCTCCTTTCTTACGTAAGGCTGCCTTCGTCCACCAGAGGACACGCTCAAAGCACCGTTGAAAAATTTATGTTTACCAGAAGATTAGAAAGTTGTTGTTTTCGTAACTCATTCTGAGTATGAAAATGTATGAGTATGAAAGTTACTGGAGGAATTTACGAACACGACGCATCTATCGCGGCTATAAGATTTGAGCACAGCTACACATACTCTCAGCTAACTACTTAAATGCACTCCTTTCCAGATATTCATTCCGCTTACTTGCCCCACTTCTCAATTGCACAGTGATGATCATAACAGTGGTTTTTCGATAGCATGTCATCCAGAGGCATATTAACTTCATCCTTTCCGCTTCCATCCAAAAGGAAAAATCTTGGGATCAGATAAAGCAGAACCATATGTAAAGTTCATTCATCAAACACTTACAACTCAAGTACGACAGACACCTTTCAGCACAACCTTTATACCAACAACAAAAGTAAAGAAAAACATAGGTAGATTATAGTGATAAAAAATTTATAAGAAAATGACGCACAAGAGCCTTCACTTCCTGCTCCGCTGACTGATCTTACAGAGGCACTTAAAGTAAACAAAAAACAAATCATGCAATAAACAAACTTTCTGGAGATTTAGAAATAATGGGAAATAGTGAGATGATGATGAAAACTGGGCAAGGTACTGAAATAAGGCAACAAACACAACTCAAGCACGAAAAGACCTGGCCTAAATACGGTAGTCAGGCTCCCGCAGCGATTGTTCAGAAAGTGGGGGTTTTGGTTTCGATTCTTTGTGTATAGTAGAATAAAGCAAGCGAGTCAAGTTTGAGAAATCCCGAAAATTTTACGGATGGTAAGAAAAAGCGCAGCCTTAGAGGCAAATTTAGTGAAGGCTTTTATTAATTGGACGGGTGTGGTGCGGACGACAATCCTCAAACTTTCTGCCTTTCAAATTTCTTCGGTGCTAAAGCGGCACGATGCGAAGGTAGGGGGGGGGGGGTGGGGGCAGATACATGAGTCGATGCCACAAGTGTAATTCTGTAAAAGTTAGTAAGAGCGATCTTACACTGCATGCATTTTGCTCGCATTGTCGCCTTCCGCCTGTCCTCCCCCCCCCCCCCAACATCAGAGCAGTCCTAGAGCTCCGAAATGGATCTATTAAAAAACAGTTTTAACCTTCCGGATGGAACTGGTAGCAAAAGGAGCTTTGCTCCATTATAGCTGAGAAATATCTTTAGCCTAAAACTGAAGCTGCACTTTCTCACCCCATCCGTAAAATCTTTGGAATTCTCAAGCTAGACTTATTTACCAACGTATCGAGGAAGTCACGCTCTTTGAGTGAGCCTACACTCAGGCTCGTAGAGTGACTGCTGGCCCAGCTACAAGCCTGCAAAGCGGTGCAGGTCATGGTGAGGTGCAGGTGAGATCATGTGCACGCACTGTCAAGAACCATTTTCATTACCAGCACACGTCCGATGCATAAAGGATGGCAAAGAGCATCCATTTTATTTTAACAGTTCGGCAATCGGTTTAATGCATTTGATGCAGACTAAGAATGGCAAGATTTTTGTTTTTAGCCCAGTAGAACTTCTGATCTACTACATAGTGGCGTACCGAGCCCCTGCCCCCCCCCCCCCCCTCCCGAGAATGGGTGGCGAAGTCTTTGAAGCTACTCACATGAGTTATAAAAATGTGCAAGTAACTTGTTTATACTTGTAAATTTTCCTCTCTCGAGATAGATAAATGGCCTAAAGTGGAAGGCTGAATACACAATACTCTTCATTATAATAGTTTTACACACCAATGATCCAAAAAATTTATTTGAATGTTCTGGAAAGTATCTCTAGGAGAAAAAATGAGGTCTGTCGTAACAGAAGTAATTGTTATAATGTCACCTTACAGTTAGTACAGTCAGTTTCCTTACTTTAGTAGATAGTCTGGTTTTTTTATCCTTTATATAGAGCAACAGCTGCTCACAATTTTTGACTTATATGATAATTGTTCTCTGCAACTTTTTTGGAGAATTTGAGACGGAATCGGATACGGAAGCAAGTGCCGCTATCATACTGGTACCGAACTACTGGTTTTGTTTGAATGTTCCCCCATCTGCCAATATTGCATTCCAATACCACAAGTTTCACTGTAAGTTCCAGCATATATCTATGGAATTAAATGCTATAGCTGATCTGTAGCCAGGGCTCGCCAAAGGTGGCTTGAAAACAAGCTGGATATTGTTTTTAGAACAAAAAGCAAAGGAGATATCTTTTTTGTGGGTCCAAAACTAGAGGGTTCTTTTTTACTCGACGTTTCGTTCTTTAGTCCATTCGGATTTTTCGGATAAGGATCAAGGGTGACTTCGTAAAGTTTTGCGAAAGTTAGGGGGACTCCGTTTTTTGCACTTTCGAAAGCCACCTTGTGCCGAGCCCTGTCTGTAGCCCAGTACAGATTTTTTGCTCATATACTGGCATTGTGAGGGCGCTAAATCCGCGGGTTCCTTCAGCTTGATTCAAGGTCACATTTATATGCTTGTGCTTATGTGCAGTTAAACAAAGAAAGAGACATTGCTCCGTTTTTTCTGAAACATCTTTCACCTTAGAACTATTTAGTTTATAGAAGGCATCAATCATCGTTTTCCAAATGATGTATTGAGCGTGAAAAATGTAAAGTTTCGGCGCGTTTCTCACTGCACTGTAGGAGTCAATGAACATGAATTGTTGTGGGATTTTATTGTGTATAATCGCTAGAGATAACACAAAAAGACAATAATCCTGTTTTTGCATTTTGCACTAACCTTGCCAACGTTCTGTCTAGTCGTCGATCCAAAACAGCCTCACCTTCTTCAGTTGCTAGACTGCAGCCTCATTTCAGTTCTCTTACTTTGTACAGTGGAGAGTACGCAATTTTTCCTCTTCAGCTCAGTATTCTAGAGAATCTGGCACTTCTTTTTCTGCACTTTCGAAAGATATTAAGTTGGCTAAAAAGTAAGTTCGTTTTGGCATACAAATTGTCATAAAAAATTTTCTTGTTGTTTTCAATCTATGATTCTTTGCGGGAAAATAGTGCGAAGCTTCCTCTATCACATATAGAACAACCAGGATTTTCTATCCTCATTAGAGACAGTTATGCCTCAACATGGCAAAATTTCCAAAAGCTCAATTCTTTGATTTCTTGAGCTTCGTTTCCATGCTGTAATGGACGTAAAGAACAGCAGTTTGGTGTTTGAATACAGAGGAGTTATCCCTATTTAGTGAACAACAAAAAGAACTGTGATCTGCCATTTTGAAGATGTTTCATTAAGAAAACCAAAATTCCTCATATTTGCGCATTATGGGAAAATTGCGATTTTTCACTTCCTTGCGGATTTTTTTCGGAAGATAAGTTTCACTTAAACAGAATATAAGCTCCAATACCCAGTGAAGTGCTCTTTTCAGAGATATCAAACATTGGGCAAAAATTTGTCCACAGCATTTGTAAGAGCTGAAAAAGCGACCGAACTTATTTATTAGCCAAATTAATATTTTACTCTAATAGGATACTTTGGGTGCCTTCGCAATTTTTCACATGTACTTAGTATTTGCAAAAATTCTTTGAAGCCTTAAAAACTTAGGCTCCTCACTTTACTAACGATTTTGTGAAGGAAACTCCGCATCCATATTTCTTTCTTCTTCTTCTTCTTCTTCTTGTTAGAGTGAGTGCATCAGCCTCTGGTGGTTCAAAAGCTTTTAAGAGAAAAGATTCTTCGGCTTTCACTGACTATGCAGTTCAAATAGATCTAGCACTAATGAATACCGAAAATCTACTGCTCTGATTTTACATGTCTAGCACCAAATAATCAGGAAATGTCTGAGAATGTTCGTGAAAACTATTTAAATTTTTTGTAACATACAAGGAAATCTCCTTTTTCACTATTTAGATTAAGAGCTTTTACATGGAATAAAATTCATACGTCGAAAACCGAATAATCATAAATAGTTATTCGTAGACACAAATATCAAATTAAATCTCTCTATGGAGTAGGTCCCGTGTCTGCAAGCAAAATTATAATAAACTGATTTTTTGAGCCTTAATAGCTATATATAGCTGTACAAGCTTTATATCGAACCTTACTTGAAAGAATACGTTTTGACTATTTGGTTAGAGCGTAAAAGTGAATGATTAAATGTAAATGAGTAAATGCTAAATCTTACAAATTGTTGAAAGCGGAAAATCTGGCAATTTACACTTGTTGTGCGAACTTATGGACCAACCTAATAGGTTATTGCAATTTCCATGTTAAAACCTCTAATATTCCAATTTTTTTCCGCAAAAAATGCGTGCACTTGCACTCCAACGCACTTAGTCATCAGTGAGTGTTCTTTGCTCGGCAACGATTGCACAACATTGCGCTGTACTTGCGCCTTACCCCACGTGCACTAGAAAATAGAATAAATAGGTGGTCAACAAGCATTGTCAAGCATTTTCTCAATTCCCTGAGGTGACTACACCCCTCCTGCCTTCCAAATTTCTATAAGTTTTCCACCAGAATTTAGTAAAAAAATTGTAAATTTTCCTTCAGCTGTCGTTCTTTCAATCTTGCTTGCATTACATTTTCGATTTGTGCTGCGCATTCACATATTGAATTAAAAACTTGTTTCACCTCCATAAAAAAACTTACCAACTCAACTATTGATTTTTTTAGCCGTCTACTCTTTAATCTTTTTTGCGCCTCGTTCGTTTTTATTTGATTTACTAAATGATTTTGTTACAGCTTTTTCGACAGCAACAATGTCGTATATGGACAACATAGAAAATTGCAACATGTAAGTTTGATTCGTTGCTCTGGAGATTTGTTTGGAAAAAATTTTTTTGCAGCTTTGAAAAGGACCATCGCTCCTTGGACGCATATAGGAAAGGGAAACGAAGTGCAAAACTTCCAGATAATAAGGAAATATACCTTACTAAAACGCTCTGCGATCCTGCGAATGCACTTAGCAAGGTTACTTCCATTTTAACAATGTTTTTCGTTACTAAGTGTTTTTCGATTTAGCGTTACAAGAAAAAGGTCCTCGCAGAGAAATCCGACGGTTTTTCCCCGAACGTCCCTTATTCGATGAATAAACAAAAGCGATGGGACACCCTTACTGCTAAAAAATTGCTTAGCGATCAAGAAAAAGACTTGCCTGAGACAGTGGTGGTGCATAGAACAGATGTTCCCTTGAGTGGTGAGTTTTTTATCAAGGTAAATTATTTTAATTGTTTATTTGTTACGTTATTAGATGGATGTCATGCGGGCACAGTCAGTAACGTGCAAATTATTGAGAACGATGCCATGACAACGATGTCTAGCGGTGGAAGGAGGAAACCGGTTTGTTTGAATTATCGTATCAGATGATAAATCAAGTTTTGTTACACTCAAGGAAAATTCTTCGTATCTCAAAGATTTTTCTAATCATTGGAGCTTTCTGGGGATACATGACACGCGGGAGTTCCAGTTTCTGATTTTTTTAAAAACTTGCGAATCATTCTGGACAAATTTTCAGCTTGAACCTTCAAGCCTTCTGTGTGTATCAGCATAAAGGCTCGTGAAAAACTACAAAAATCCAAAAGGTTGAAAAGGAGACATGGGCAATTTTGAATTAGAGGAAAAATGGAAATTTAAGGGTCCCTTTAGACTGTCACTATATTTACTATGACTCTTAATATGTCCAATATGAAACTCTGCCATAGTTGTAAGTTATTCTAGAGGAAGACGAGAAATATGTAACCAAATGTTACAACTTGATACAAGCATACAAAGGTTTCTAATGATGCCCATCTTCCAGCTGAAGTATTTCAATGACCAAATAAGGGAACTGCGACAAATAGACAAGAAAGAAATTGAGCCAGCAAGGATACACTTCAATATCACAACTGAGCCTTCGTCTGAGAAATCACCTAGCAAAAAGGCAAAACGAAGTGAGCTTGCTTAAACAGTTTTAGTTTCATTTTTTTGGTGCTCTCAAAAAGATCTCAGAATTTTAGCAAACAGAAGAAAGGGCGTACTCGAGAATTTTGATGATGATGATCTAAAAATTTCTGATCCCAACTTTGTGGTTGATGAGGAGACTATTGAATCGTGTGAGAAAACAAGGTAAACAGCATGATCTCTTCTCACCGTCAAAACTGCACGAAAATTACGTATTTTTATAGATCCTTCACCCTTGGAGATTATGTGGTACCTGAGGGAAAAGGTCGGCAAGTATCGGAACCGAGCCAGTTTTCTCGTCCCCACTGTTCTAACTCACAAACAACCGCTAGAACTTCAGCAGATGACGTTGAGAAGGTTTATAATAATTCCGTTCTTTCAATCAATAATCACGGTTATACTACTATTTTTAGAGACCGTCCATCATGCCAGTGGATCTTCTGGATATATCCGAGGCCACTAAGGCCCCTCATATCTTTGTGATCTATGCGACGAAAATCAAAAGTAATGTGGAGCCATTCAGCCTGGAGGAGAAGGTATGAGCGAATTTTTCTGGAGTTGGGACACTTTTACTGGAAGAATTCTAGATACTGAAATCGGTACCGCCAAGACTTATCGTAACATGGTTTGGTCCAAACCGTGTATCCGTCCGAAGTCCACCCTACTTCAAACCAATTTTTGTACTTTTCTTCGAATTTGAGGAAAGTACTAGAATTCTCAGGTATGCATATAGCCATGAATCAGAATTCCGAGCTGGGATCTGAAGTTCTGACTTTAGAGTTCGAGTAAACACCAGCTCGCCGTACGCGGAGATGGCAACAAAATCTCGTCTTCGCAATCTTATCCAAAATCGAGACTGGAAGTATGACTCGCTACTCGAAGACTTGTACGACTTTATTATGAAAACTCGGAAGAAGTAAGTTGAAATTTGATTCTCTCGTTGGTGTACATATATACCGGAAAAAATTTTGCAGGGAAGAAGAAAAACCTGCAGATGATAGTCGCTTCGTAATGTATCCAGAAGGTTTTAATAGAGATGTAAATACTGAAACATTGGCCCCTCTTGTGAGTTTACAATCGATGTTCAATAATTTTATTTTTAACGTAGGTGAAGCACTGAAAAAGCAATTTTAGGCTGTTACATTTGAAGAACAGGAGCAAATTGCTCTACTGAGCCAACTATATATGGAAGATGATTGCGACATCTCATCATTTGAAGTCGTGGATAATTTGGTAAGCAGTCTTTATAGGAATCGTTCCAACAAAGATAGAAATTTTTTTAACAGGATGATTCTGCCAAATGCTGTTCCGTCTGTCACATTTCCAGCAAAAAGGATCTTTTTGTATCAGTGGATGGTTTGATATGCCGAGATTGCGTGAAATCCTCCATATTCCGACAGTTGCGCTTCAATAATTCATTCCCAGATATTCCGGTACAGCAAAGCTCCTCTCCAGAGGTTTTGGCATCTCAAAAAAAATTTTTTTCTAGATTAGTGCCCCTCCAGGTTCTTCCCCGATTGACCTACTTTATGCAGCCATACCTGCACCTGTGATGTCATTCTTAGTTAAGGTAAGCGAGTAAACGACACTGAGGGCTAATCCCCTTCTACTGACCATTTTTATCAATTTTTACTCTTTATATCGTGTTGCCACCGTAAACCTCTGAATTGGACCTGCACGTTGTCGTCGCGTTCTGCGCTCCTCCTAGAAAAGGGCTACGGTGGAATACTGTAGCCGCGCGGAAATCCGCCTACAGTTTCCTGGCTCTATAAGGAAGATTGATCTATTAGATGGGTTAGGCACGCGACATATTTGATCCGCTTGGTCCACAGGGTCCGCTTTATCCGCTTCATCAACTTCGTTAGTAAAATCAGTGAACTGACCAATAGCGAAGCAGTTGCCCGCTTGATCCACTTGATCCACTCGCTATTGGTCAGCGCAGTCCACTGATTTCACTAAAAGCGAAGGGAATGGAGTGGATCAAGCGGATCAGGTGTGTTAAATTTGACATGTATCCTCTGATTGAACTGGATTGGCGGCTGGAGGGCGAGGCATCGTGACAATTAAGGCTGGGGAGTGATCAGTGCGTCGCGTCGCGAGCGGTCGCCTTCCAGTCGCCAATCTCGTTGAATCAAAGGATACCTTACGATTACCAGATTACAAGCAAACTCCAGCCATATCAGCTTATAAAAATGGACAGAACTTCTCTTGAAGTCCCATTTTCAGAAATTGTATGCTTATTGCAATCCGAGCAACTCTCGATTCGTAAAATGTCATCATTGTCATGCGGAACTCGCCACTTCGCCCGACTGCGGTATCTTCTTGCTGATTTTTTCGGCCTACACCTATCTTCATTATTTTTTTAGAGTTCTCTAGCTGCACTTGCTCGAATTGCGGTTGTGCATTCTGTTATCACTGTGAATGCGAGCCTCACTGGCCTATGAGTTGTGGTGAATATAAACGCTGGACAGATCGATGGGACACACAATGTAAGCGCATAAATTGTCCTTTGCTCAGCATTTAAAATTATTTTTGTATGCAGATCTTCTCGAAAAGAATCACATAGTTGGTGATGGCCAAATGAGATTATGCTTACTTTGCGAGGAAGTATTCCAGGTAACTGCAGTACGCAATTATTCTCTGCATAAGGTCTCACTTCACTGTCTTCTTTGCAGGTACCTTATGGTTCGGATAGTACTCGGTGTCCTGGCTGGAGGTGTAGGTGGGAATACGACGATGAAGGAAACTACAGTCATTGGCACGGCTACAAGAGGCCTATAAATCACCGGGTTTTGAAACATGCAAAGGCACTTGGTCAGAAGATCAAATACTGTAGCGAATGTGTAAGTTTTTTACACTTCTTGGAATAAAAAAGATAGAAACAATTGTAAAAAAAGAAGCCCAAAGGTCTTGTTCCAGGGGCAGCACGAATCGCCGCATACAATCAAATTAGAAGGACTTGTGAACAGAGAAACAGCTAAGGTTGTTATTTTCAATATTAGTAAACTTCTCCTTTCTTAAAATAAAGTTTTTTTTAGCTAATTGCTGAAGCACACAGGCAAAGACTAGAAAAGAATGGAAAAGAGACGTTTGTGAAGTATGTGGCGAAGTACTTTAGTTCAAAGAAAGAACAAAGAAAAATGAATGAAACGAGGAATTTGGTAAGTAACAAAATTCTAATTTTCGTGTGGAAGATAATCGCTTTCATATCTAGGTACTGTGTTTGGTGGAGAATTGCACAGCATGGCTCTATTTAATGAAACCAGCTAATAGCCATGAATTGAAAGCTCAGATCTCCAGCCTGTTTTCACAACTCACAGACATTCAATGTCAATTCGTTGACAGTCAAAGACGTATACCGGAAGAAAAGTATTTATTCATAATAATCTTGCTTTTCAAGATGCAAACAAAATTTTTCAGGGACGTCTTTTCAAAGCGGATGGCGAAACTGGAAGAGTTAGCTGATGATTTGATATCTGTATTCCGACAGTACAAAATCGAAATAGATCTTTTATAGTAATTTATCACAACCGTAGCAATTCAAAACAGATATGATAGGACTTTTGATAATTGTAAATTACGATGTAAATTACGATGAATGATGATAAATAGATTTGTCCAAGTTGGTCGTACATCTTGCGTAACGCGAATCCTTATCGAGTTGGTCGTCAGAATTTATCTATGATTCTCATTGTACTGAATACTCCGGAATTAATTTTTTAAATTTAGATTGGCTATGATTACATCAGTATTTTTTGAAAAACGGCTTAGCTTTGCCTTAATAGGCCTGCCTTGATTCCTGAGCAAACATAATAGAGATATAGTCTCAGCCTAGATGAAACTAGGATAATCATTACTGCAGACCAATGGGTTTATTACTAAATTTCTGGAGTTACCTAACCCAAATGGAGTAAAGAAGGTGCCAAAAGAGCTAAACTTACTTCTGAGCGATTCTGTACTTCTGATAAGAAAAGCATCATCGGGAAGTTGAAGTCAGGGCCCGGCAGGAGGTGGCATTTCAGAATTTTGAAAACGATATCCCCTTTGAAGCCAAAATTTCTTACGACTTCCCCTTTGACCCTATTTTTGATCCTCGTAAGTCCCTGACAAACAGACATGCACAAATAATAAGATGGACGGCCTCAGCGCTTATTATAGTAGTACTACCTGGCTTTCCTGGTCCAGCCCGGGTCATCAAGGTTTCAGCTCAATGGGTTCATCCGCAAAGGAATCTATAAAAAAACATAGGGTCAAGATTTGCACTAACTTTGACGTTTATATATCTAAGATACTACTCATTTATTAGTCAGCTGCGAAACTTTACAATTTACAATAACCGATTGCGATTGGAGTGCGCTTTCCGAGGCTGATCATAACGCTGTGAACCCTATTTGGGGCTGTATCGAAGCGGTGCCTTGGTGGTTTTGGAAGCGGATTTGAACATATAGTAATATTCTCGACCTAGTGCACATTTATGTAAAGAAATCCGGGAAATTATGTGAAGGGAAGCAGGGAGCCACCCCAGGTGGCTTCCAGGTGGCGCGGGAGCCACCTAATTTCGAAAAACACTTACCATATTTTAAATTCGCATAAGTTTCTCATAATTCTTCATACTTTTTTGTGCTCATGGTCCTCCAACTACACAGCAAATTTGGTGCCATACCGTTACTTGGCACTGGAAACGAGCCTATTCTGTTATTTTCCTCTTACAAGAATTGCGATTTGAGTTCCCGCCTGCGGGCAGGCTAGCGATCGGAGCACAGAATCTCCATATTGCTGGAATCTAAGCCCATAGGACAGTAGCATCAACAAGGAATGATGAATAAAGAATGATATGTGCATTGTTTATCGGTAAACAATGCACATAAAAAACGATATCCAGCTTGTGAAAGCGCCACCCCGCCGGGCCCTGGTTGAAGTAGGTATCCACCATTGTCGGACTCATGGGGCGAAGCCGAGAATGGGTTGGGAAGTTTTGGAAATGGTCTAGATTGTAAAATGTGCAAGTGATTCGTTTTCATTTATGTAAAATTGAGATAATTTCCAATTTTCAACTTTGTTGAAGAAGCCTTATTGGCGCGCATGGCCGCTCACTTTTATTTCAAAATTTTGGGGTCAACAGGCCCTCCAAGTTTTGGAAATTCCAAAAACCGCAAATCGTGCTTAATACCATACCAATTATTTCAAAAAAATTCTGTCGCTCTCCCCTTTCCCTCCAGAAAAATTTCCCGGCCGACAATGATTTCGGCAATGGCTGACGCATGTGGAGAGATAGTGAAAGTATACTGAAGGCCACAAGAAGTAACTGCGAATCTTTTTTGGAAGATGTGTATAGGAGTCATGAAAGTGCGAAAGTAACATTTTTGTACGTCCCTTTCATTGTGAGTTACACGCCTTTCCGACCTTGAACTTTATACGGACTCAAATGCGCGTAAGTTTCACTAACCTCATTTTTCGAAGATCTATAGAAGCGGAAGAGCTGTCCAGCTTCCCTTTAACCCTGGCGGAACAAAGATGGCGTCGCTTAGAAGGGAGTGTGAAACGCAGTAAATCAAAAGATAATTTGTCCAGCGCATCGAAGCAGAAGAAATGGAGATTTCTCGACGCAGAAAACTTGAGCGCTCACCCAGTAAGGGGATCTTTCAATGAAATTTAAATCCGACAAATCACAAATCTGCTGGGACTCTGCCTCTGACTAGCGGAAAATGTTCGCCATTTGTTCAACTGTTGTATTCTATAATAGCTCATGGAAATTATGCTTCTTACTTTCTGTTCTTACTATTAATGTGAAGGTAAGTGCAGCTCCATAAAAAATCTGAACATGTAACAAAACCTATTGCAGAAGCAAAAAATGTCAAGCAAAACAATCAACAACCTGTAAATATCTGATATCCCTTTTGATTACCCTAATGAAAAAGTTCTTGGCTTGTCTGGCCTCCATTCCAAGGCAAAATGCCTTCGCCTAAAACCCTCTGCAAAGTTTCTATCACAGTCTTACCGCACTCCAACAGTGATAAAAAGAATTAGATGACTAGCCCTTGTTGTAAACTAAAGCTCTACAAAATGTTATCTAAGTTCGGCGTAAGGCTTAGGAGCGAAACACTCAAAAACAAACGAGTAGTTTGCACGTTTTTTGGGACTTTTGATGATAAAATGGTGTCTGGGCACCATCGGCTTATAAAACCACTTTGTTCGCCATATTTCACTAGATAGTTATACTGACCATCAAAAGCTAATTAGCAGGGTTTTTTTTTTGTGAAAAAATGAAATGCACGTGCATTGGCGTGTGCGTTCACAAGGATTGCACAACATTGCGCGGTACTTGCAGTACTGACCTTGGAATGTTCAACTTCCGCACTTTTATCGTTCTCTTAAAATTTTTCACTACAGTCCGCTTTACCTCTCAAAAGAACTATTGATGTTTTCTAGCAGTTTATTTCATTCGATTTTTTATGCTCAATTATTTGGTCAAGCACGACCTACTCACAATCGCTTTTCAGACTTTGTGATTGGCTAGCATGTCACAGATAGATAACATGGAGAGCTATTATATGTAAGAAGGATGTGCAAAATGCACATATCTCCATTCAAAGAATTTTGCAGTTTTGAAAAAGACCATCGCTCAGTGGATGCATGTAGGAAAGAAAGACGCAGTCCTAAATTCAATCACAAAGATTGGTATCTTACCAAAACACTCTACGATCCAGAAAATACGCTTAGCAAGGTTATTTGCAAGTTATTAATAACATCATTTGCACTTGTCTAGTACCCTTTTTAGCGTTGTAAGAAGAAACTACTCGCCGAAAACCTAGACGGGCTGTCCGCAAACGTTCCTTATTCAATGAACAAACATAGTCGGGGCTACTGTAAATGCGAGATTTTTGCTCAGGGAATATCAAAGGAACTCTACTGAGCCAATGACAGTGAACGGAACTAGCGTTCCCTTGAAAGGTGAGTTTTTCAGCTTCAAGCAAAGTCTAGCGCTTTACCCTTTTTTGTAGACATCAGTAATGCTAGCACAGTTCAAAATGTGCAAGTTGTTGAAAATGACGCCATAAGAATGCTATCCGCTGGCGGAAGGGCTAAGACGGTAAGTAAAAAAATTGCTAAATTAGCAGGATTTTTCTATAAGATCTTTCTCGAAAAATTCATGAATCATCGCTCTTCTTTCTTACTGTTAAGCTTCACGTTGTCTTAAAAGCTGAAACTCTCGTTTGCAGGAAGAAAGAAAACTTTTAATAACCTTACTTTTTGAAGAATTTGAACCTTCTTTTAGCTAAAATACTTTACCAAGCAAATAAGGGAACTACGGCAAATGGAGAAGGAAGAAACTGAGCCAGCAAGGATCCATTTCACCATCACGACCCAGACCCATCCTGAAAAGCGAAAAAGCAAGAAGTCAAAACCGAGTCAGCAGTTATAGTCGTCCTCACCCCACTAGTCGGTCGGTGGACGAATTCGTACTGGAGCAGGCAGGTCGCGGCAGAGCACGGCACCTTACCTCTCCGTTCAAATTCACGCATTCACTTTGCGTATTTCTTTGCCATTGCTTAGCAGTTATTGTATTGTTACAACGTTTTTGACCCATATTGAGTTTTTGTAATTGCTGAGCGTTGTCTCCTGCCGCGCTCTGCCGTGACAGGCCTGCTCCTTTTCAAATTTGAACTCGTCCACCGACCGACTAGTGGAGTGAGGGTGACTATAATTTTGTTACGGTAGAATGTATTTTTGAAACATCGATTTTTAGCGAAAAGAAGAAAATGCTTGTTTACCAAACTCAACACTGATGATTACGAATTGTCGCGCTAGTTTGCACGACGCATTCGATGAGAACGTTGGTTATAAGACACATGAGAAATCAAGGTGTTTATCATGCCTTCTACCCATCTCCTCCCCCCCCCCTTCCCTTACAGCCAGATCAAGTTCACTATTCTAGGTCTTCCACCTCTAGCAACAGCCTATCCTGTACGGAAAAAGGCTTACAGGCAGGAGTATGAAGAGGCCTCTCATCAATCTCAGACACTCGCGGTTGACTCGCGCAGGGCAAAACGATGTGTAGCCATTGAATGCGTGGGCGACTCGCGAAATCGGTGTCGCGGCAAAATCAGGACACCTGATTTTGTGTCGCGGCAAAAGTGCGCGGCAAAATCGGGGCAAAATGGGGAGACCTGCGCGAGACACCAAAATGTCGCGATCGCGTTCAGAGCACGCGGCCTACGCCCTTACTGACAGCTTTTTGCGTCCTCTAAGCCCTCTCTCACGCCTTCCTTTTGACTTACCTTGAGTCCTTGGTCACGTTGGGTCCCGTTTCCCACGCTTGTTTTTTTTCTGCTGATAAACCCAGTCTTACGTCATAAAATTTATTAGCAAATACCACATGATCTTCTCGAGTAGCGTTTACAATAACATCGAAATGAGACAGGAATCAAAGCACCGCAATCACGACACAAGGTTACGAAAGAACTACGGTTAAGAATGACAACAGCATTAATTTTTTACGACTACTTCATCTTCATCTTCAACGTTTTCAGTCTTCTGGATCGTTACGCCTTCTTTGGTAACACTGCTGCCTTCGACCATGACGCGCTTTTTCTGAAAATAAAAAATTATTGTTACCAGGATCGTATAAAACAAACGAATTACCTTTGATGGAAGGAGCATGGACCTATCAGGGTCAAAATGATACCTCCCGATGTCTTCCCTGCAAAAATATAGTTCAGAAGTATCGCTTTCCTTATGAGAAAACTCACAAAGCTCTCCCATTTGCTATCCTCGCCTTACCGCTCCATACTACTCTTTCCTCTGAGAGGACGTCGAATAATTTTTCGCAAGCGTCGTCATTTTCGGCCAAGTCCAACCACCACCTAAATTCTAGTGGACATGAAGGTCTTTCGAGAACATACATACTTATTTGGATTCCGTTTGTGCTCATCTGGCGTCCTCAAAAGCTGGTCGCGGTGTAGGCCAAGAGCGTGAAGGATGAAACCTAAATCAGTTATTGAAAGTAATGTACTCAAATACACATTGACCCACTTATTAAGAAATCGACTAATCCTTCCGGGAGGTCCTTAAGATGGTCAAATTTTCCCTTCTTTCCGCTCTGTCTACAGGCGTACTGTTGAATTTCCGTAGGTGGTTCGCAGGCCTAAACGGTGATTACAAGACGACCTTATCATCTTCATCTATCTGTCGCTTACATTTAGAAAGAAGTGGCGCAAAAAGTCGAGCACCAAAAGGAAATGATCATGCTTGTGCGCGCGTTTTGGTCTCTACCACTTTTCCATGACTTCAACCATATTGAACTCCTGAAACCAATAATTTTTCCTCGTTGACTGAGAATAGTGGCTAAAGACCTTGGAGGGTGGTGCACTCTCACGATGCCAGATCAACGTGTTTTTATATTTAGTATCAAACTATTTATGAGCATGTGTGGCAGTTTATCACAGAATGCTCAAAACACAATAACGTGATTCAAAAAATTGCTCTGAGCTTGCTCAAAGCCTTTGCTCCTTTCGAGTGGTTTGCGCAGAACTTCGCATGGACCGAACTTTCTAGCTAGCTACCCCACTACCACCTGCGGCGAAAACATAATTGCAAATGATGAATAAGCTTCCCATCAAGTATCCATGTTGATTGTACCTCTTTTACATGTTTTTGATCCAACTGATCTACCAACATTGCCCAATTCAGAACTTTGCCCGATTTTTCCATTATCTCCGAGATTTGATGTAATTAATTTGCAATGAGGGTTTCCTTGCCTTAGGGACCTTCTAATATAACCTTAAACAACTTGCAAAGATTGTGGCTGCAAAAGTGGTCCGAACTCTTTACCACTTGCTCCATAGTCTCCGCAGGTATCCACTCGACCACCCGTCCACATCTGCATGCCCTTGGCGCCGCAAGCTCAATGCGAGCCTTAGCCGCATCTTGGGTAAACCATCGCTCATAACTTTGCCCAGAAAATCATTGAGCAGCTAAGGATCACGAATTTGGCATTAGGGCCCCAAGAGCAGCAGAATGTGTGGAAACCCCACTTCGATGGATGATCCTTCCCTTGTAAGTAAATTCCGAATTCCGGCTAAGCCAACTGTCAGAAATGATGACGTGCGGGATGAACAATGTGCATAAACTCTTTCATCTTCCGATTGAGTACAAATCACTGAAAAAAAGGCGAGAGTCAAATGAGTGATTTTTCTAAACTCGTGAGATGGGGTACGATAAATGTGAGCTATGCCAGGTAAATTTTGAACTGGAATTGTGTACTCTAAATAATATGGAACTGGAACCGGCAATATTGATGCCAGTTTTTGCACAGAGTTGAACCGTAGATGACATTCTTCATGTGATGAAAAATCTGCTTTAAGAAGTTCAGAAAAAGCATTACAAGCAACCGCAGTTCAAAAATCGCATAACCTCAGAAAATTTCGAAAATGACTGTCTTGTAAGCTCATACCATTTTGAGAAATGAGCAACCGCAAAAGAAGAACATTACTTTCTCAGTTTCATAAATAAAAACATGCCTTCTCATTCAGCTCTTGCACGACCGGAAGATCACTATCCACTTGTGAATCGACATTCTCGCGGCTTTCATCATTGTCATTAACATTCTCTTCTTCCTCTTCTATAAAATCCTGGAATGAGCTTATATCATAGGTGAATCATGGTAACCATAATACGGAAACTTTTCCGACCTCCTCAAGAACAGGATTATGCTTAGGTCGGCGTTCCCTTCTTGGCTTCGGGGATCGCAACGCAAAATCGTCATCCCATTCGTTTTCGTAAAAGCGCTTGAAAACCAAAATAGTACACGTTAGCATAAATACTCAAAGTCCAGTAATCAGCTAAAGTAAGCAAGCAAAACAATCTAAGAATGAAATATAACTTCTAGAAAGAGAGAAAAAGGGTTCACTTTTACTTCCGGATGATGATCAACGGAGATAATGGCCGTGTGATCAGAAGGACGCGTTCGAAATGAGCGTCTCAAGCTGATTCTCTTTGGTCTAAGCATGGTTTTTATCGGCATGGAACGTCTCTGGAAAGACATGCTTTGCTAAGTATAGATTCATCTAAGAAAAAAAACAAATGCAACAAATGCAGGGAAGAATTGATCAATACGTCGACGTATAGGTGCGTTATTTCGAAACCTCCTCGCCCGTCGCGACAAAATCGCACCAAAATCCGGACGAAACTAAAATGATGACTCGCGCCGGTCCACCGGATTTTGCCGCGAACGTCCATTTTGTGGGCGGATCCCCTGCGCGAGTCAACCGCGAGTGTCTGAGAACGTCAACGCTGCGATGAAGTGGCGACAGCTAGCACTTCGGAAGAAAACGCTGGAAAGGTTTCACTGGCTTGCTGCATAAGTTCTATCCGTTTTGTGATTTTTTTTTCGAACCAGCTCTCTGCTATAAATTAGGCAAGATTTTGGATATGAGGGAGATGTTAAATTGTGCGAAAAACGCCGTTATAAGAGGCAAGAATTCCAAAATTACTTACAAGTTTTTTTTCAACCTGTCTTTTCTGCCATAACGCTGCTCCATAAGGCCCCGGTCAGACTTCACGCGACTTAATCGTCGCGATCTAATCGCCAAGATTTCCATTCATTTTCATTTCACATTCAAAAATGTCGGGCTGGAAAAGTACCACAACCGAATGCAAGTTGATCGGCATGGAATGATGTTGTAACAGTTGTCTCGTCGCGACTCAGTCGCGACGATCAAATCGCGTGAAGTCTGCCCGGGGCCTAAGACGGCATTTCTATAGTCATCAGTAGGTATTGAACGAAGAATATTTGTACTAAAGGAGTTCATGGAGCATAGACAGAGGAAACTTATGCGGCAGATTAGTAAAAACTCTATTTGATGGCACTTATCACTTTCGTAATTTTTAGAGAGTGCAGGATCTATCTGCAGCCGTTAGAACTCCCTGTATCTTTGAGGTCTACGAGACGAAGATCAAACAAAAAGCTGAGCCTTTCGATCTTCGGGAGCAAGTAAGATTTAAATAGCGAAATCCTTATCATAACGATTCGACGGACTAACCTTTCATATTATAGATCATAAACTTTGTTCCTTTCAAATTTATTGTCACTTGGTTTGACTCAAAGCGGGTATCCGTCAAAAGTCCAACGCGCCACAAGCCAATGTTTGTTATCCTCTTCAAGCATGAGGAGAGTGCGAGTATTTTGAGGTGCGTATGTCATTACCAAAGCAGAGTGGTGTCTATTATACCTGACTTGCATAGGAGTTTGTCTTTCCAGGGTTCGAGTGAACATCAATGCACAATATTCGGAAATTTCTCCAAAACTTCGTCTTCGCAACCTCATAGAAAATGATTAAACCAGCAATTATAATGCACTTTTCCCCAAAATTCTTGACTTTATAAGGGGAACGCGAATGTATGTTCTAGCCTACAATTATGTGTAGATCATACATACGTTTGGAAGAATATTTTCAAAGACGAAGAATCACCCCCACAGCAATATCGCACAGCCCTTTATCCAGAAGCGTATAATGAAAACGTCAATATTCTATCACTAGCAACAGTTGTGAGACTTACAATTACATATAAAGTTTTAATCGCTTTTACATATGCATAACTTAGAATTTTGAAAAATATTAGGTTGTCCCAAAAACCCTCTTTCGATTAAACCAGGGTATTTTTGTTTTCCTAGCCGACTTACGGTATTAGAAACAGCAGCATGCTCTACAATATAACCCCAGCTGAGCCATAACCGAGTAAATTTTGGAGCTAAGAATCGAAGTTTTCAATCCTCTTAAGAATCGGACCCCCTTCCAAAAAATTTCTAGGAATTTCTAGCTTTGTTTTATTATAGTAGAACATAATAGTGTTAGAAGAATTTGCTGGATTTTTTTGAGATTCTTAAGAACTAAAAATAGCCCGAAAACGCAAAAATGTCATTTTTTCGGGTTTTTATGTCAAACTTAGCATTTCTTAATCGTTAACATAAAGAGGTATAATGGTTAGATTATACTCACTGAGGCTTGTAGCATAAATTTTATGATTATTTTATCGCTTGTTTCGTTCTATCGAATGGCACCTTGATTCCGTTAGGAAGACAAAAACAGCTTGACTTTTTAGAAAAAGGGTTTAGTTTTAGGACAGCTTAATACTTTCAGGCAAGCAGATACGATGAGCAGGAGCAAATCGTACATCTAGGCCGACTTTGGAAGATGCTAGCGAAATCTTGTCTTTCGAATTGGTAGAAAATTCGGTAAGCTTTTTTTGCATGAAGTGCACCAGACTAACTCAAAAATCTCAATTTTAAGTACGATGCAACAAAATGCTGCTCTTACTGTTACCTAATTGAAAAAGGTCTTTTACCAACGAATCATGGTTTGATGTGCCACAACTGCATAACATCTTCAATACTCCGACAGCTACATTCGAATTGCTCTTCTGTGGAAATTCCGGTAAGGCCATTCAGAAATAAAAATACGCTTTAAAAATTGCTCTACTGTTATATTCTTGACAGTAGATCAATCTTTAAAGCGTATTTTTTTCTGAGACACATCCGAAAATTTCACTGTTTTTGATTTTTCACCCTCCAGGCTGTTTCCCTCTCGAGCTCCTTTATGCAGCTGTACCAGTGCCTGTGATGTCTCGCTTCATAAAGGTAAAATCATCTCTATTTGCCTATAGCGGCCCGGGAGGAGGGAGGCCCCCCTCCCTTAATGGGTCGCGAAATGTTTGAAAGTGACTTGCATGGGTTACAAAAGTGTGTAAATGACTTGTTTGTGTTTGTAGATAACTATTGAAATTTGATTTCAAATTTTTTAAAAATTCGCGTACACCCTGTAAAAAAATTTTTGGGGTTGTAGCCGCAGTCATGCCCCTTTTTCTATGATTTCGAAGTTATCTCTTTTTGTGATAGGTGCCAATTTCGGATTGGGAAGAAATCGTGAAAGAATGCTGCAGAAAACTTGCAAGCATTCACTTTTTGGACTCCTGAGGAAGATGAAAAATTGCTTCTCAGTCTTTCTTCCGCTAGTGACAAAACCCCACTTTTTCTATTTTTTGAGAGCCAACCTAACCGGTTTTTTTTTCAGAAGATGGATGTGCTTTCCAATCCCAGCAAATCCAAGTTTGTAAAATGTCCTCGTTGTCTTGCTGACCTTACTACAACGACCACAAATGGTTTGCTGTTACACGACATAGAATTTTTTAGTCTGTAAATCTTTTTAGAGTTCCATACTTGCTTATGTTCGAACTGTAACTGTGTGTTTTGTTATCTGTGCAACTATGAGCCTCATTGGCCTATGAGTTGCGATGAATACAAGCGATGGACGGATCGATGGGACGCACACTGTGAGTGCAAAAAAATTTTTATTTTCGATTAAATCGAAGGCTTTTATCGCAGATCTCCTCGAGAAAAATCAAAAATTTGGTGATGGCCAGATGAGACTTTGTATTCACTGTGAAACTGTATTCCAGGTGATTTATTCTTTAGACATCGCTGAAAATAAGGTTAAATTTTTTTAGATGCCCAAAAACACGACCAATGCTCAATGTCCCAATTGGGACTGTAAGTATAGATACGACGAAAATGGCACTCTATATCATTATCATAATTACAAGAGAGATCTGTCATTGAGGTCTTTAAAACTAATGGAGGCGTTAGGATATAAAATGAAATACTGCACTGAATGCGTAAGTTCAACTTACTCTTTGAAAATTTTGAGTCGTACCAAAAGTACCGCCCCTTTTCTTTTCCCAGTCCCATTCCTCCCAATTTCTAAGAAACCTTTGGGTCATTTTTTGATAGAAGAGTAACAAAGTGTTGTCCAAAGATTCGCATATCGCTGGCAGAAATGTGAACCTAAAACCTAAAAATTTTATTGTACACTGTACTTTGAAGGCGCCATAGAATTACCTGTGTGGGGATAGCCCAGCATCGCTTTGAAAAAGACATGCCAGATCTCGTCCTCTCGATTTCTAGTCATGTAAAAAAGTGGCTATGATGTCAGATGAAAATTGTGTAAGCTTAAAAGTTTCAGGTTCTCAGGACTTCTTGAGAGGAGTTCCAGTTTTTTTTTCGAGTTGTGGCGTTTCTGAATTCGATTTTGATTAATGTGGAGCGAACTTTGTGCGAATGTTTGGATACTTTGAACTTTCTTTGCTCTATCAGTTTACACCTGTTTGAGATCAAGGAAAAATGGTCGACTGGGGGGAAAGTGAAAATGGACGGAACTTCTGGGAAATTGAGAGAAGGATGGTCAATGAGAGCAACTAGGATAAAAGAACATGCAACAAACGATCTTATTCTAGGGTGAACAGAACGAGCCTGGCACGATTATATTGAAAGGGCTTGTCAACAAGAAAACAGCGAAGGTAACTTTTTACATTCAACATTACCTCTTCTCGTCCAAGATCTAATTTTCAGCTGTGCGGTGAAGTACGAAGGCAACGATTTCAAAAGCATAATAGAGACTAATAGAGAACCTTTTGAAAAGTACGTAGCTAAGTTCTTCAGTTCAAAAGAAGAACAAAAGAAATTGAATGAAACGAGGAAATTGGTTAGTTGCACTTATCTGCAAACTTATTCGTTGTTCTACTTATCTGCGGCGAATTGCGGAGGCGAAGAGGAAGCGGAATTCCAAAAATGTCTTTATTATTTATGAGAGTATGCAAATGAATTGTTTTTGAATGCTTTGTGAGGTATCGTATGGAGGATAATGTATAACTACTTCAGGATTCAACGGTAGTCATGGAATGGATTTAACTCATTCAGATAATTGGATTATCTTTCAAGATTTTTGGGACAAGTAGATTTGATTTCCATAGAAAAGTTGAAGTTTTTCCAAATAATTCACTCTTTTAAGCTTGCGAAGTCTTCTTGAACCAATTTCGAATAGGGCAGGTGGACACCACTCCTTGATAAAAAGGTTTTGTCGCCCAAATAGTTTCCTTTCCGAACCACCCCCCCCCCCCACTCCCTCCCTTCCCCCAAATAAAACGATTTTCTAAGACTTGTGAAGTAATCCTTTGCGACTTCCAGGTACTGCTTTTGGTAGAAAACTGCACCGCTTGGCTTTATCTCAACAAACCCAGTGATAGTCACGAACTGAAAAGACGGATTTCAAGGCTTCTTGCGCAGCTTCTTGACATCCAACTGCGTATTCCCGAGAAAAGGCAAACATTTACTTTACTAAAGGTTGCGTCTCTTTTATGGACATCTTTTTCAGGGATGCTTGGAAACAAATGAAGATTCTGCAGACATCAGCTGAAACTGATGTCCGTGTTCCGACGAAAGCGAAATGAATGATCGAATTACTGATGTTGTAAATAATTTGGCAACCATCTGTAACTCAATTGTACAGTGGGAGGTGATAAGAGCAATAATGTCCATACATAACTGTCCATATTTTCAAAAGAATCTCATTGGCTCTTTTTCAATTTGTAATTGACGTTGATTTAAAGTGATTTTGTCCAAGTTCTGCTTTCTGCATTCATGTTGCCCTTATAAGGGCAAGTATATGCATGTGGCACTTACATTCCAAAAGTAATTTCTTCTATAGTAGGGGAAACTACTACGTTGCTAAAAAATAATTTCGGTAGTTTTCAACGGTTTGTGGAAATGTCACGGATAAATTAGTGTATAAAAGTATGGTACCATTCGAAAGAATAAGTCAGGGAGAATGTATGATTAACTTTGTTATATTTATAATTTGTTTGTGTTTTATTTTTCATATCATTTACCAGAACTTTTATAGAGCTTCGAAGTTGCATGTCAAAGCGAAAACATTTATTAGCCAACCTATATGTATATTACAATCTATTAGATACAACTAAATTTGTGGTTTGTTTGTGAGTTAACAAATTTTCATAATGAACCTATCATGGAACAAAAATTTCTAGCCAGAAAGCGTAAAAATAGAAACAAAATAAGTACAGTTCATTTGTAAAATTGTGAGGCTTATTTTACTGCAGATTTTTCGCCCATAAGAGGACAAAATGCTCATTCAAGAAGGCATCACCTCAACGTTCAGCTCAGCCATTTCCGGTGTCTAAATATCATCTACGTAAGCAAAAACATTCGACTTGAGATGAAAGCTAAGAAAATACGGTTTTCGGAAGTGGCACTGAGGTGCGTGTCGCGCGCGGTCGTGCCATAGTCATAATTTTACAAATGCCCTATACATTCATCCTCCGTGTATTGAAGAAGTTCATTAAGGGGTTAGGATAAGCATACAATATCCGCAGCTCGGTGAGAAAAAGCTGTGTAGTGCTAAAAAAATCTGTGAGAGGCTCTTCTTCAGGGAACCAAAGTATTCACTTCATTTTAAAGCTGCAAATTCCTGCCCTACTTCTACCTTAATTTTTCTCAAAGGCAGAAGCGACATTCTTTGTTGGAACAGATTTCACTGCAGTCTCTTGATCGTTGGACTTTGTATTTTGTCAAGGACGCCTAGTACATTCGAAAACGCAAAGTACTGGATCTTGAATTCTGCACTATACAGGGTGTCCCGAAAGTACACACTGTTGGATTTTTCTGATAAAGGTTCTTCAGTGTCTTCTGTCGGACCTTTAGGTACCACTCTGTAGAGCTAGCTTCAATTTAGATTTCCAGTACAGATCGAATTCCCAAACTACTTTACTGTGGAATTACGGTAAACATTTTGAAGAGGGTTTTTGAACGTTGAGAATCGCACTCCCTCAAAAAAGGAAGCCGAACAAGCAAAAAATATTCATGCTAAGCAAATCAGAGTCGCTTTTTTCATTTATGAAATTTGGGGTTCACACACACTGGCTTCATGCTTCCTTCAGAAGTTATATTCAAAAAAACAGTAACTGCTCCTCCAATGTTTTTTAAAAATGCGATTACACCTATAAGGCTCAGAAATCCTGTAAAAATTTGCTTAATGAAGTCAGCATGGAAACTCGGATATACAATTCTGTACTTTTTTGAAATTTTCTCATAAGAAAACTGCTGCAGCAAATGACCCTACTACACTCTAGCCTGCCTCTTATGATGATTTAATATATCATCAGGTAATTCAAAACAAGAATTTTGCTCCAAGCTGTCCTTTGCACAGAGTTCATTTAAAATTCCTACGTTTTGCTTCTTTATTCCAAAATTGCCAATTAATGCAGAAAGGATTTAATTTTTGTGCGAGTTTCGGAAGTCTGATCTCCGGAGCGCTGCAGACTATACATATTAGGATGTAAACTACTGAGTTTTGCTGATGTTTACAAAATTAGATTTGATATTATTAAAAAACCAAAATTGATTTCTTTTCTTGCTTGACTCTGCATTTACACATATTATTTTAAGTTAAAGATACTACGTTAAAGCACATAATTTCTGCTTTCAAACAAAAATATTCCGAAAGTCATGATTTTCTTGAGAAAAAAAAAGACGCGGACTTCTGGACCAACCTAATATAGTTATATGATAACTTACTAACGTATACAATTATGATAACCTCTTATACGACATGGGCCAGGTCAACCGAGGGCGGAGCGGGGACGAGTTTCGTCAGCCTTGTCGTTATTCTTGTCGGCGCGTACTTTGTACTTCCGACCTGCGGGTCGTTGTTGTTTTTCTCTACACTTTCGTATATGCTATTTTAGAACATTAGAATAAAGTTACTGACTTCGCTTCTCAAACCCTCTGGACGCTTAGTTGTGACTTCTTGCACTCTAAACCGCTGTCTTGCGTCGTGTTTTCCTTTTCACTACAACTTCAGGTTTTGAATTTTGTTGGCTTCACTGTACGATCATCAGTGCACATTCTTGCAATTAGAACTCTCTCAACACCAAACATTCTTCTTTCACTGGACAAATGTCTTCTTGTCGGTCGGTCGAGAAATATAATGCTTCAAGTTTTATTTGACAATGAGCGCATTGTGTTTGAAATTTAAAGCATAGGGCTTCAACAAAACGGTAGATACGATTTTTGTACTGTAAAAAAACGAAAAGGATGTGCTGAGGGATTGCCTTCTCTGTTGTTGACGTTGTATAGTTGCACAGGTTGACGAACTTAATCTGAGATTAACCATTCTTCTTTTTCTTTCGTAAGGCATTGGAATTTCTTTTGATGAAAGTCAAGTCAAATTGCGGCACTTTTCTTATAAACTGAGGTTGATGAGATTTTAACGCTGTAACAGCGAGGTCCTTGAAGGCAGAATTTCATTTTGCTCGCCTACCTGGGCCCATCCTCTCCGCTGATTCCAAACATGCAGCTTAGAGAGCACGAAAACGTCGAAGCGGGCTTTTCCAGAAGCTCTTATTTTGAATTTTGTCGCCTGCCGCCAAGGCTAGGACGCAGAGTCTTCGTGGGACCCTTCGTTTTGACTGCGCACTCTGCTTATCTAACTAACTCACCCGGCCTTCTGAAGCGGTTTTCTCTCTGCAGAAGCAATTTGGTGCATTGCCAGCCTTACCAGGACGGGCGCCCCTGTACTCTACATTTCCATGTCTGCCCGGACGCTGCCTTTAAGGGCTTGGGCAGAGTTCACGCGATTTCATCGCCACGATTCATGGCGACAAGACAAGTGTTACAAGTTCATTGCATGCCGATCTTCTTGTATTTTGGTTGTTATAGTTGGTTACCACTGGTTATGTTGGGGAACTATAGCAACCGAAATGCAAGAAGATCGGCATGCAATGATATTTTTACAGTTGTCTTGCCGCCATCAATCGCGACGATGAAATCGCGTGAACTCTGCCCGAGGCCTCAGACTACCCATGATGGTGGTCGGAGCCGATGACCGCTTCTATCTGGGGGTTTTCTCGCTTTGAAATTCATCTTTTGCAGCAAACTTGGACTACTGCTTAGTTAGGGACCCTGCTATTACACATCAAAATGGCATCACCTTGAACTTAGAGTAGAGGACGGTGCTTCACATTTTGTTTGTTGCGAGAATTGGCAAATCGGTGGTATATAGAATGGTATTCGGCAGTTTAACGATATAGAGGTGAATCTCATTGTAATAAGGAGCCAAACTCCGGTTTCGCAGCTTTTAGCTTTTTAAGAGAAAGTGAAAGTCATAGATTCATGTAAATGGATGGAATTTTTATTCTTTTCTTGCTTTTGTTTTGGTCTTCTTCTGCTTGGGCCTCTTTACTTGGTTTAAATCTGTAATGACTTTTTGCAGAGATGCTTCGACTTGGCCGTCCCCTCCAGTCTGTTCGCGGACTAGCCTCTGCTGCTACCGCCAAAGCACCTGCTCCCGCTGCAGCAAAACGTCCAGCTCGAGTCGGACCGAACATTGTCCTCGTCGAAGCTGTAAGGTAAGAAATGTTCCCGTTCTGTCTAGTCTTATATAAAAAGCTCAATGTGCTTTCTTCAGGACACCATTCGTCATGTCTGGAACCGTATTTAGAGATATGTGGGCTGTCGACCTGCAAAGAGAGGCACTAAAAGGTATTGTTTCGAAGCCGTCATGTGTTTGATGTCTGTTCTGATTTGTTGTCACTCAATACTTCAATACTTTCCTTCAGCCTTGATTGCTCGAACGCAGATACCATTCAAAGACATCGACCATGTCATCTGCGGTACAGTTATTCAAGAAAGTAAGACGAGTAATATAGCCAGAGAGGCTGCTCTAGAAGCAGGCTTCCCAGATAAAGTAAGTCGGTTGTTGTTCTTCGTATGTTCAAAAATTGTTGATTTTGTTCTAAGCTTTTATCAAAGTGCATTTTCTCTTTTCATTAAGCCCTACGTATAGAATTGGTAGTTTCAGTACTCCCCGCTAAAGTATGATTTCGTTTCACGTTTATTGCAACTGCTGTAGGTGCTATTCAGTTGTAGACACCGTACATCAATGAGGATAGTAATTTGATGTTATGTAATAGCGGACCACTGACCAATCAGCCGCCTGATCTTGCTGCAAAAGATAATTCCCAAGCGAGAAAAGCGCCCCTGAAGGCAGAAGCGGCTTAGGCGGCTCCGCCCATTCACTTAGGTGGTCTGAAGATACAAGTTCGGAATTGGTCTTCAGAGTAGACAAAAAGGTTGCAAATTTGATGGTCGTAATGAAGGAGACCTGTGAAAATTTTGAATATATCAAGGCCAAGTTTGGCCTATTATTTTCAATTCACCCTGGTTGTTCTACCTTCTGGAGCGGTTTTGTCGCTTTGGAATTCAACTGCAGCGAGATTTGTGCTGTTGCTTACAAGGGAAGCGTGTATAGTCGCAGTGGCCTCTAATATGCTAATACCCAACATTGCTTTATCTGAGTGCTGGAAGGATTGTGGCAATTGTTTTTCTAGAATCTGTATCCATTTTTCGTTTCCCAAAACGGTCATAACTCTGCCTCCAGAGGCGCTTGGCAGATAATGAAGACAGATTTGGAGCCACCGTGCAATGCTTTTTAAAATGGTATGAGTCTCATTTAGAAACGCCTCTTCGACTAAACACGCTTCCCTTGTTAGTTAGGGGCTCCGCTCTTATAAAGCATCAGATCATACCTCATTTCGACGAGTGCATTTGAAAATGTAGATGTTTTACCATTCTGCTCATTGGTATCCGTGGGAGTGCACGGGCGTTTTTTACCAACATTTGGGCGATTCTCGCCATCTATAGTGTCAACTGGAAGGATTCTGGCGAAGAATCTATCTCAAACCCCATGTAAATCGACTTTTGCCTATGTTAAGTTATAACCATAGGTAGTCATAAAAAACACAACAAGGCTTTTCATCTGTAAAATTCAGACGGATTTGTGACCTTTATAGTGTTAAATCATGGATAGACGATACTATCTTTTAGATCCCGTGCCACACTGTCACTCTTGCTTGCATTTCTTCGAACGTTGCAATGACGACTGGAATGGGTATGTTGGCCACGGGAAACGCCAAAGCAATCATTGCTGGTGGTGTGGAACTTTTATCGGATGTTCCCATTCGATACAACAGAAAGGTATGTACTTCAAATCAATGGTTGTCAACGTAAATTTATCTGTTCTAGGCGAGAAGAGCCATGTTGAGCATGCAGAAAGCGAAGGCGCTTGGCGACAAAGTGAAGCTTGGTGAATATTGCAAAAATTTTCGTTGCTTTTTTCTGTTTTCGCACCTCAGCTCTATATTGCAGGAACTGAAATCGTGAAGAACATGTTCAGCCCCGAACTACCAGCAGTAGCAGAGTATTCCAGTGGAGAGACGATGGGTCATAGTGGGGATCGACTTGCTGCAGCTTTCAATGTTTCCAGGAGGTTAGTGTAATCTGTTTCTAAAGTTTTGGTTTCGGAGTTCACTTTTTATTGAACTTTACTTTTCACTACATGTAGTAATAGATTGCATCCACGGTAATCCAATTTATTCTAGGATATACACTATTTTGTTCAATTACGTATTTCTAAAGCCTATCCAATTTGCTATGATCATAATCGTGCATTTGTCTCATAAGGCTCCGGCCAGACTTTGCTCAAAAGCGCTCAAAAGCGACCAGATTTCTTCAATCTCTCTTCACTTGCTCTATCTCTGTCATCCACGAGAAAGTGAAGAGACATTAGAGAAATCTGGGCGCTTTTGAGCGCTTGCGAAGTCTGGCCGGGGCCTAAGAAGTTGAGAGCTGCTATTTTTAGAATCTTATGCTGAAATACAAGCTGTACAGTAGTTTTCCATGGTCGTTTTCTCAGCTTGATGATTTAGGGAACAGGATGAGTTTGCATTACGATCTCACAACTTGGCAAAGGCTGCAACAGATGCTGGTAAACTCAAGGACGTTATCCCAGTCTTCCTAAACGGAAAGAAACCACAAACGATCAAGGTATTTTTCTGAGGTTGACTTTACAAATGTGATATCTGTTTGATTTCAGACTGACAATGGTATTCGCGTATCAACCATGGAGAAAATGGCATCTCTGAAACCAGCATTCGTCAAGCCTCATGGGACCATCACAGCCGGTAAAAACACCATATATTCTTTGTGATGTCCTTATAAAAACTATTCAGCTAACGCTTCTTTCCTGACTGATGGAGCTTCCGCATGTTTGATTACCACTGAAGATTTTGCTCTGGCTAACGGTTACAAGCCTCTTGCCTATCTCCGGGAATACCAGTACGTTGCGCAAGACCCTAAAGATCAACTTCTTCTTTCACCTGCTTACGTCATCCCACAGTTGCTAGAGAGGGTACGTTCTGAAATCTACCTCTACCTAGCTTTTTGCAGTCAAACTTACTCCCACTTTACAGGTTGGCCTTGGACTGAATGACGTTGATGTTTTCGAAATCCACGAAGCTTTCGCTGGACAAGTTCTCGCTAATCTGAATGCGTTAGATTCGGATTATTTCTGCAAAGTGTGTTTTTTTTGTACCGCTCTCAGTTTTGTACTTAGCTGAATCTGTAGGAGCATATGGGACGTTCTGGTAAATTTGGCCGAATACCAATGGATAAAATCAATCTTTGGGGAGGTTCGCTTTCGCTAGGACATCCATTCGGTGCGACTGGTGTGAGGTTAGCTTCCCATGCCGCTGGCAGGTTAAAGGTAAGCTATTCGTTTCTGTTCTGAGTAAAGAGTAAATGTGCAATGTGATACTGGCTTATTGGTAGTCTTCTGCCAGATTGAGGCAATTTTTTTTATTTTTCTAATTAAGAGTAGTTTTTGGGCTGCTTGTCTCTGTCATCAAAGATTTTTTGCAGGAGGAAAAGGGACAGTACGCTGTGATTGCTGCTTGCGCTGCTGGGGGACACGGTGTAGGAATGCTTATTGAAGCATATAACAAGTAATTAGGATTTGGATCTGCTGTTCTTGTCAACGAATGATTAGACGGGAATAGAAATGTGAAGTACTGTACATGTAATTTGACCACTAAGCATTAATTTATAACGACTAGCATTATTGCCAGTGTGCCATGTATCTATTACTTACTGCAGTTATCGAATGCTTGTATGGATTGCAGAATGGGTGTATCCTTCGACGAGTTATAAATTATGAGACAATTGTACTGCCTGTAATAAAATTCTACACACTTTTTTGTGCATCACCTTCAGTCAGAGATTTGAAATCTACGACATATTGAAAATTTTCAAGTCAAACTCCCTAGAATTAGTGCTAAATCTTTGTGACTACAGCATTCCTCGTAATAGCTGGTTAGATGGTTAAAGGTGCGGTATCGCCTTTACTGAGAATAAGCATGAGAATAAGTTTTTCTAGAATGAAAGTAACCTCTCGGAATGCATTGTTGGTAGTTTCACGCTCTTCTCGCTTTTTCTCTAGTACATCTACAAAGTTATCATCAAAGGAAGAACCATCATCACATGTGCGGCTAAATGTAAGCCATTAATGGAGCGGAAAAATCAGCGTGAACAACTGAGTTGCAGGGTTGGGTACAAAAATCTCAAAAATGCGGAGCGAATGTGTTTCTTCACATCACCAATGGATTGTCGCCAAAGTCAGTGCAAATTGTGTTACCTAAGGAGTTATGTGGGTCAGGTAAGTCATATAAACATTGAATTTCTTGCCTTTTATTGCGAATTTTTTCGCATTTATTGCGGAAGACAAAGGCGTTGAAACTCAGGAACTTCGCTTGATTGTTCAAGGTTTTGACCATTACCACTGTTAATGCTGTTACCACTGTTACAGTTGTTATTGTCGTGCGTCGCAAAGCTTCCTAACGGTTAGCGGTGTTAGGCCTCGGGCAGAGTTCAGGCGATTTTATCGTCGCGATTCATCTCGACTAGACAACTGTAAAATATAATTGCATGACGATCTTCTTGCATTTCGGTTGTGATAGTTTTCCGGCAACTAATCGTGACTATCTATCACAACCGAAATACAAGAAGATCGGCAGGCAATGAACTCGTACAGTTCTCTTGTCGCGATGAATCGCGGCGATGGAAACGCGTGAACTCTGCCCGAGGCATTGCCTTTGCATGAAAGTCCTGCGGCCTTATCTTTCCATTTGCTTTCCCGACGGGTGGCTGCGATTGCCTTCAAATAATGATCAAAAAACTTAGTGGTAGAGCGGTAAGTATGGTCGATGGGTCAAACCTAAACTCGCGGAAGCTAATGTGAGGTCTTTGATACGAAGTGGCGCTTGACATTTCTTGTTGGAACAACTAGAGGCATCATCTGCCTGTATGAACGTTTATCAGTCCACATGTGCGATTTGCTAGACTTGTCATGCCTTTGAACTTCGGAAGTGATCACTAGCTCCATTAGAATAAAGTTCATTGAATCTTCTACTTGCAGTGCACGTTGGTAGTGCTGTTTCTATCAATGGTAAGTGGCAGCCAAGCTTGGGTGAGCAGCAGGAAAGGGAATTGCTAGCTTCTTCATGTAAAGTTGTAGCAAATGATGTGGAGGTAAATCTTGCTTTGCTTTCTATTACTTACCCTGAATAGAGTTATCTGTCATTATAGCCAAGGTACTCATCTTTGTCTCCCGATCAGCTTCGTAAAAAAATGCATCTTCGTACACGTTCTTCCGCTTTCGCCGCTCTGCTCCGATTGCGGTCTAAGCTTTTGATGAAAACTCATGAGTACTTCATGGTACGTACATCTTGCTGAACTCTCTAGTTCTAATTCAAGTCTGTTTTTCTAGAAGCGTGGCTATGTTCATATTGATACGCCAGTCATCACAGCGAATGACTGCGAAGGAGCTGGAGAAACGTTTTCCATAGCTGAAGTGAGTGGACCTCACATCTGTTATTTTTGGTTACTGCTTTTTGCACTTTTCTAGTGATCAACTGTTTTAGCCGACTTCAGGGGAGGAATTCTTTGCTGAGAAAGATGCTTTTCTGTCCGTCAGTGGTCAACTACATTTAGAGGCCATGGTAAGGTTCGTTGTATGTTATAAAATGAATTATTTACTACGTCTGTAAATGGGAATTTACTAACCGGCCCTAGTATGATTTTTTTGTTTTTTATGTGTTTATGCATGTCTCGCTTCCGCTAGTTCGTGCTACTGTATTAAAAAGTTGTGATTGCGCATTTGTGCATTGCCTGCCTCCGTTAATCAGCTATTTCTCCAAATTCTACAGTTTCTTCCGCCTAATGAATGAGTTTAGTGCTTCGTTGTTATTTCAGCGGCATATCTCAAGTCTACACGTTAAGCACCGGATGCAGAGCTGATAAGCAGCAAAGCAGGAATCATTTGACGGAATTCAGAATGTTAGAAGCAGAGATCGCGTTCTGCGACGTAAGTATAAAATGTTCTTAATGCCATATCTCAGCTAAAAAGCTACAAAACATAATAATCAAACAAAATGCACCTATCGTTGCTTAGTCTCATCATCGTTTTCTTTTAGGATCTCAATATCTTACTGAAAATTACCGAGGACTTCCTGCGCTTTTGTATTTTCAACTTGTTGAGTGATCCGGTGATGATGGACGAGTTCGATTCACTTGGACAGTTCTCTGAGAAGGTATCATCCCTAACATCACAAGGATAATTGTTCCGTACCGTATTACAGGACCACATGTTCGTCTTGGGATCCATTATGGATTCTCCACCCTTTCCCAGGTTACCGTATGCTGATGCCGTGAAGCTGTTAACTGACAATAATCAAAAGCTTACCGGAAGAGGATTAACCAAGCAAAATGAAGCATTTTTGGTAAGCAGTTTTCATTCAGAGCCCAGATATCTTAAACTTATCGTTAGCTTCCAGGTGGGCTATCATAAATCTCCTGTCTTTGTCACTCATTTCCCTTCAGAGCAAAAACCATTCTACATGTTGCGGTCGCCAGATGGGAAAGTGGTAACTTTCTTCTTTATTTTAGATAAATAATGGGTTTCTGATATGTTTGTTTGTCATATCCAGACTGAATCTTTTGACCTGCTCTGCCCCGGCGTATGTGAGCTTGCTGGTGGATCCATTCGTGAGCCGTCGCCTGAGATCTTACGGGAAAGGAATCCCTCCGTTGAGTGGTAGGTTTGGGTTGTAATCGAATGATTTGCAATTTTTCCGGTAGAGTGTTGTCGTTTCCAGGTACGCAGAGATTCGAGAAAGAGGAAAGCCCATATCAGGCGGATTTGGCTTAGGCTTTGAGAGATTGTTACAGCTGTTATTGGGAGTACCAAATATTAAAGACACCATTCCATTTCCTAGATGGTTCAAACATTGTCAGTGCTGAGCTTATTATTGTCATGTACACAGTCTAGGATTAGATTTTTCATATTTTTTTGATTTTCACTTTGTGCAGACTCATGAATACTGCCATACATTGCATCATAATAAAATATAATTTCAAAATGATTTGGTATGTCTGGCGTCTATCGCTTTGCATTTCCAGACGAGGCAATACTTCTATGTTAACACTTTGTCCAAACAATACCTACACTTACATGTTTTTTTTTTCGATCATAGTCGTTTGAAGGGGGGGGGGGGAAGCATGGTCAGAAACGGAGTTTCGAATTTCCCATCATTTCGTCCTTGATTTGTAGTCAAGATCAAGCAAATGGCTAAGAGTAGCATATATGGAATTTGACGAAAGCTTTCTAAATTCAATATTTCAAGTTCTGGTTCATACAATCAGGTAGAATTCTACATTAATATGTTCTACATAAAGTCACAAAACCTCGAAGAATTCATAATTTTTGGGAGTAGGATCTCCGTACAAAAAATCCTAACAATCTCGATTATTATGAACGTATCCTTCATATCAGACGTTTATATATAAAATGGCTGTTTTTCCGGTTAGAGATCAAGTTAGATTCAAGAAATGCCAAGAACACAAAGGTGTCGATGTTTTTAAATTTTACCCTATTAGGATTTCTAGCATACTAAGGTTTGCTAAGGCTGAAACTACGGCTATTGTTTGATGGTCTTCAATAGATACACACGTGAAAAAAAAAAACTTGGGACCGATCTGTTGGACCTTGCCAATTTTCGTGTTCTCACATTCTGACCACGAAAAAAAAAACGATAACTGCATATGTGGATGTACGATGTGGATAGTACATATTATTTACATGAACGCATTTGAGTTCCGTTGGATTTGTTACAAAATTCTTAGATTTTGGTTTGTATCTCTGTAACGGAATCCTATGCCAATGTTTGGAAGCCATTTTGTACATTTTGTTTGCTCTGTCAAATAATTACAAGGATATTAACAAGGTCAACAGGTCCTCTTTGAATTTGATAATATTAAGAGACAACCCAATATGTCTCTGACATGTTTAGTGCACATGTGAATAAGTGGGAAGTTTTTGAGGATTTTATGGAACAAAGATCCCACTTGGTGATTGCAAGTCTAATTAAGTAGATAATCGCTCTTTTTTTCTGCGCACAATGTTTATGCAAATGTTTGAGGGTCATTCTGTAGAGCTTGTGTTGTTTGTAAATCTATTAGGGTATAAGGAAAGTTTCCGGACAGTTTTGGAAATTCCATTTTTAGACTCATTTTTTCGCACTCAGTTGAATCATAACGACGAATATTTTATATGATTCTGTAGGAAAAAGTTTAAGCTTTGTGGACTTGCATTCAGTTTTCATCGATGACAAGCCGTGTTGACCTGCACACCAAAAAGGGGAGATTGTGCAACAATGGAAATTTCACGTTTTTTTCTTTTTGCTGCCATTTTTTCGCAGTGAACAAAAAAAAAACAACAGAGGTTGGTCAGTCTGAATAAGGAGGCTGTCTACTTTGAAATTGCGACTGTGCTTTTTACAATACGCGCACAATTACAAGATCTCAAACTTGCCCTTGATCGTACCTGTTTTCGCAGTCGGCGTCGATTTTATAAAGATCGTCACGCCTCGGTGATGGGTCCAGAAGATGTGCAAGACATTACCCCAACAATATTTGCAGCAATCAAAGATTTGATTCATTCCGTGTGAAAAAGGATGACTTCAAACTCATTTACTCAAGACTGGGGCATGTTTGAGGACAAAAATGGCCGATTTTTTTGATTTTTTCGATTTTGCACAGGCTATGCTCTAAAATTGTGACAAAGTCTATAAATAACCTCACCAAAGTTTCACCTAACTACCGGATACGAGCTCTCCAGCTCTCTTCGTGCCTGAGAAATTCCTGCACTAACATGCAGGATTTTAAGTCGACATTCTTCTTGTGCATGCTGGTGGCCCGAAATGAAGCACTAAGGACCCAACAAACTGAGCATACTTTGTAGACAACATTGCCTTTGCAGCGAAGCTTGCAGCCTTCAAAAAGGATCAATCTGCTTGAAGTTACAGCAGTTTGAAAAAAAATTTCACAAGTGTCCGGGAACTTCCTCTACAATACAACCAGGCCGCCATCAAGTTTAAATAACTAAAGAAATGGATAAAATTTTCAGGAAAACCAAATATATAGAACCTATTCATAACATGGTAAAGTTCAAGAGTCGTTATATCCTTTTGGAGATGGAGAATTTCTCTGAAAATAAATTATCCTTGACTCGCGCAGCCTTATTTACAACTATAGCGGAAACTGTCGGAGATTTTCATGGTGATCGAGGATTTGCTTGGGTCAGAGCTGGACTTGTGGTCAGTCCTAATATAATTTGAATATTTTGTGAATAATCGCTGAACTTGGATATATTGTTGATTCAGGTAAAAGTTATTGATGGAGACATTGCATTGGTTCGGGTGGAGTCGTCAAGCGAAAAATTTGTAACCAGTGTTATACCATTCATCACCAACATAAATGGAACTGAGCTCATCCTTCGAACCCTCTTCATCGGTGGGTTCCAGGACAATTTCCATGCTTGAGCCATTTCATTAGGTTTCCAGGCCGGAGCATCAGAGCTTGTGAAAAATTCCTTATCAAATATCGACGAAAGGAACTTTATGGTCTTTTGAGAACAGCTGAGACAGGAGGTAAGTTTTTAATGTGCGGTTTTGCAAGACATGATAGCTGTTTTACAGTTGAGAAGAATGCGATACTGAAAGTTGTGAATTCCGTTACCGGGAAGTTGGAGTGAATGCAATGTTTTGTTCTCCACGCTGTATATAAACCATGTTGTCTGTTCTTGTTAGGCTGAAGATGATGATATGCCATCTCCACTTACTCAGACACTTTTTCCGACGGCCCGCGCGAATTGAGCGTGCGAGCGCTCATGCCTCCCGCCGCCCGTGGAATGAAGATACGCGGCTCGCTCGCTGAAGGCGCGCCGCTCGCCCGCTCCTTCGAAAGCGTTGTAGGACCCTATTGTGATACAGATAGCAATCCTTTGATAAAATTCATATTTTGTTATTGAAATGCGACCTCATAGCGTCAGATTTATTGCCAAACATGTATATGGGTATGATGATGGCAGATTTATTATCCAAAGACTTACAGAACAACATAATACAGAATCAAAAGCAGAACACAACAGGCAACAACTATAACATTATCAATACCTTTTGCGCTAAGCACCCTGTTGAAAACACGTAAAGCACAGCAGCCATGCTGATACTGAGAAAGCACTGTTAGACACCAGTAAGAATGACCTGATTGAAAAAAAAATACCGGAATTCTGTCAGAATCATGACACTGAGGCAGTGAACACAGAGATCTTGATGAACGCTTAAAGCAAGGTACCACTATATTACGAAAGATGAAACACTAAAGATAAGACACTGAACAATACTTGAAAAGAAAACACAAAAAGGAAAACCTAGACAAATCAATTTTTTTCTGGAGGAGACGTTGGAATGGAAATTACGCAGATGTTGGCAGGCGTTAGCTGATGATAGGTTGCTGCTACATAATCCTTTTTCGGTTAGTAACTTTCTTCAATCTTCGGCTGGTGCGGCACGTTTCTGGCGCTGAAAGAAGTGTCAGATCATTATTTAAGTATATTCTCACCTTATTGGCTATCCATTTTCCTGACTCGTAATTGTAGGACCTTATATCTCGTCTGAAATCAAATTCTCAATCACTGTGAAATTTGTAAAGGATCTTTGGACTTACAGAGCCATTTGAAGAGATTTGAATAGTTGAGGTCGCCAATCTTGGCGCTGTTTTCTTACCTCAGCCAGCGCTTCCATTCTTTCCTTTTCGGTATCTCCAGGGTTTCTGTAAAATCTGAAACGCAAATATTTTGGTTTTTGCCGATCCTGTTTTAGTCACCCACAAAGACTGATTCAAGTCCAGGTTATTCCATTGATCTAGCTCCTCGGCCCGAACCCCATCATGTCTTCACCGAAATCTGGAAACGTCCATTGAGAGTGATTGTTTCTCCAAAAGTTCCTTTTATTGACCTCTAAGGATCCCTTCTATTTCTTCTGGTAGATTGAGCAACTCTTCATCCCGTCCAGCGTTTTGGTTTAGGCGGATGGAGTAGTTTTTGATTTCTTCGGCAGGTTCCGTCATCTAAGAACTCCTTATGTAAATGAGGTGTTTGCATACATCATGACTCACCCTCTGGAATAAAAAACGGTACAAGGAACATGACTGTTGAAAGATGTTGTGCCTCGGACTTCCTTGCCAACCTTTACAGACATTTGTGAGATCCAGCTAAAGCGTTCACTAGATTATTGTCGTTTTATTGTAATCCAAAACATGAATGAGAAACCTTTTTGAAGGGCGGGTTCGGTTTGAGTCGGGCAAAAGCCGCAGCAGGGTGTGTAGCGTACGGCGGTGGTCGTGTGTGCAAAGTTTCACGATCGTCCGAATCGCCGTACACTCGTTTCAGGCAGAACTACGTTTTACACCCGTTACCGTGTAGCTACCGTAATCCGAGAAAATGACGCTATGGTTCAAAACCAATGTGATATTTAGCATCAGCGGGCCGAATAACCCCTCTGGGCCTTTCGGGCAAATCTATGATTTTGACCCCCTACCGTATACCTACCGTAACCCTGCAGGGAGGCGTTTTCCTGCGGAGAAAGGGTGATATTCGTGATCAGCACGTCAGATAACCCCTCTGGGCCAAGTTTGAGAGAAATCCATGACAAACAAATTTGGGGACCGGATATCCGAATAGCGGACGCAATACGGACGCTAAGATGCTACGGAATAGGGAGCGCATGGATGACAATGACTGTGCGAATGTGAACCAGAAAAAACTTACAAAGAATGGAGACGATTAGCTGGCAAAACGGACAAGCAACCAACGATGCGATAACAAATGCAACCTCCTACGGCTAACAACGAATTCAAAATGATGCTTACGCGTCTTGTTAAGTTACATGTTCGTTGTTCTTACATATTTGTTTACCAGTGCGTCACCTCTGCTTCGCAGAGGTTCGCACTGGCTCTACTATCTATGTACCTTACTCATTCTCGTAAAATCGTGGCACTGGAACTCACCGCGCTATGCCGACTACCACGAATAAAATGTAAACAACCACTCATTTAGAAAGTTTTTCATGTAAGATCGGTGATTTCGCGTGGATGAAACTTTTCGCAAGAAGACAAACGCAAATTTGAATAGGTTTTTGGATTTGTCATGATTTGGTAGTCGCCATAGAGGTAATGATAACCGTGAGCTACATCTCTGTGCGAAAATCTTCTCAAACGCTTAGCTAGAACCTTGGCAAATTGACCATTTACACAACCAATTTGTTTTGGCGCCGTTTTCGTTATGTAGTAAACTTCCGACTACTTTTCTGGCTAAACTCCATCGCTTGCATATTTGCTTACCAAACTCATCCACGACTCTGCAAAAAGTGGTGATACGGACCGAATTTTGCGGTACAGAAGCCAGGTGGACCCGTTTGGCGCGCAATTTCTGAGGGATCCACTCAACGAATCTACTCGTGCTTTTGCATGTTGGACTTTCATAAAGGTAGCATGCGCTATACAAAATTTGGGCTTAGAACGCTGGCTGGAACACGCTCCACGAATTTCGTAACAGACACACTCTCACACACACAAAGTTACGTAAACATCCTTAGCCCGTTATTATAAGTTATGATGGCGCGCCGCTCGCCCGGTCACTCAAGATGGCGCGCCGCCCGTCGAAGGCAAGGCGCGCCGCTCGCACGGCAGGTTTCGATGGCGCGCCGCCCGTCGGAAACGATGCCACGCCCACAAATCTAGGCGCGCCGCCGCACGGTAGGCTCATGAAAGCGCGCGGGCCGTCGGAAAAAGTGTCTGAGTAGGCTTTCAAAGCAAAAGATCGTAAAGTGAATGTTAAGAGTAGTGTAGGAAAAGCGCGAGAAGGTTATTACGCGAATAGGTGGAATTATCGGCCCTTATTTTACTTGTGTGAGTTTGAGTCTTTTCCTTTCGCACACCTGCTGACTTAAGCGATTCATATTTTAATGATGTCTCAATGTTTTGTAATTCACGTCTTAGAGGAATATGCAGTCTATTGTGATTTATGATTTGGATCTGCGATAGTACTCAAACATTATATGAGAGAGAATGCCATGGGAGAAAACAAGGAAGTAGTTGATATTAATGCGTTCAAGTCTTGGAGGTGGAGTGGGAAATTTTTATTATATGAATGTATACTTGTTACTGCGCATGGATTATGAGCGGTCACTTAATTTCCTTCGAATTTTATTACTTTACTTGCGAGGGTGACGCTTAGACGGACCTGGCCAGGCTTTTCCTACGCCATGAAAATAGTGGGGAGCAGTATGCTCCAGTCACATAAGTTTAAGTTATTTTCATGTAGGCTCGCAATAGAGTTGGCGTAGATGTGACTTAGTGCGCTTACATAAGTGGATAATGGTAATAAATACATAACTTAGAATAGGTAAATGAAATAATTGTTCTTTTGCCGAGTTTTATAATAGTAAAACCCGGTCCGGAACCTCCATGTAACGAATTTATGTTTTAAGGTTGTCGTTAAGCTATGAGTGGTACCGTGGCTGGACTTTCAGACGCTTACTTCCTATTCTTTCAACCGGCATATATAACTCAACTAGCTTCCTTACTAGCATTTATCAGGCATACATAAACAAAGTATAGGATGTAAAAGTATAGCGGCAGACGGCAAAACAGGGCGGGATAAAAATATAAGAATAACTAGATGAGGAATGGGGTAGCGAATAGATAAGAGGCAGATAGATGAGTTTAAAACAAAGGGTAGCCAAGCAGGAGCTAGGGCTCCGGCTTAACCTTACATAAATATAGCAATATAACGGGAGCAAATAAATACGAAGCAATTATACAAGGAAAATAATATGGGAAAAACACATGATTAGAGATTAAATAAACATGGAGGGCGGGTGATTAAAATGAGGGGGGGGGGCGGAGATTCTGAGACGATCTTGTTGAAGAGGCAGCTGCGAAGCTGCCTCAAGTCCGAGCCATTTCGGTCCTCCAGAGATACTTGTCACAGATCAAGGAAATATATGAGCGATATTTTCAGAAATACACTGAAAGTACTCAACGTTACCCATAACACTAGTACACCTTACCATCACGAAAGCAATGGTCAGGTAGCGAAAACGTGTAAATCCAAGTAGTTATAAAATTGGACAAGAAGTGTTGATAAGGAAAGATGTAGACTCAAAACTCGCACCTAGATTCGAAGGTCCTTTTCCCATTGTGGATACTGAACGGCCAAACGTCACCATCCGAGATGGTCGTCGCTTACGAACCATCCACATGAATCGTTTGAAACCATACTCTCCTGCAACATCATTGACGGAAAGCATACGTCCACAATAGTCATACCCAATAGTTCGCGATCAACCCGTATTCGAAACAAATCACTACCAGCCAATAAAACTTCATTTACATGCAATATCAAACATACTAAATTAGAAAAAAAAATAACGAATCTAATAGTATATAAATATATATGTCGTAATTATTCAAAAATAGCAGACTAATAGCACCACAGATATACGCATATATATGTTCCATGATAATGGGAATAGTCGGCATAACCGGCTCTATCTTCTCTAATAGCCGGCATAACCGGCTCTACCTTTTCTCTTTTAGCCCAATTGCGGCATGCGCGCACCAGCAGATAGATTGGCATCACCATCAAGGCCAATGAGAGCGCGCATGCTAAACAAAAGCAAACACAATCTTCAAAAAAAGAAAAAAAAACTTAGCAAAACCAAAGCCAAGAAAAGAAAAAGAAAAAACAACAA